ATTGCTATTGTATTTAAATAATACAAATAAACATCAAATTTAAATATGACTAATAGTAGAGGTAGAATATAATTAGATTATTAAATTATACTCTGTTTTATTTGCTTACACTTTATTTAAGATATGTTAAGAAAGAGAACTAAAAGTTCAATCTTAAAATAAAAGTGCAACTGTTATTATATTAAGCATCATTTTTACACACTCCTTTGATGCATAGTTATGTCTGATAATTAAAGAAGTAAAATTATAAGGCTTCGTTGAAATTAAAGAAATCAGGCTAGGCAAAACAAATTTAACTGTTGCCAAAATGAAAAAGGTGAGCTTAGGCTAGCTGAGGTAAATTGTTGAGCTGAAATAAACTGCCGTATAAATAAAAGATATCAGGATAGGTGTTAATTCCTTTTTATCTTTTGTTTCCTTCACAGCCAAAATACCTCATGCCTCAAATAATTGCCCATTCAGTTTTAGGGTTTATGAACAAATTTTGCATTGTGTTGGAAATTATGGCCTGAAGAAAGTTTTTTTACCCACATTGTCAGTTAAATATATATGATCTCAATGTAGCAGTGTCATTCAGAATGGAGCAACCTGGTAATGATGGTTGTATAAATAAGTTAATGCAACTCTTACAAACTTTATATAATCAAAAAAAACCATTTGCTTCTGCATTTAAAAACATGGCAGAATACATATATATATATATATATATATATATATATATATATATATATATATATATATATATATATATATATATATATATATATATATATATATATATATATATATATATATATATATATATATATATATATATATATATATATATAAATATATATATATATTCATTCTTTCAAATAAGAAAATATTTATATAAATTATTTACATAATACACTTTTATTAGGGTCAAGCATTTGATAAAATTGCTAATAATCTCAAAAAGCCTTGGTTTTCATACAACCAATTCTATGTAGCATGTTCTAAAACCAAGTCATTTGCATTACACATGCATAACGAGTCATTTGCATATACACATGCATAAACAAGGTATGTCATTGAATGAAAATTTCACAAATGTTATATTTGTAAATGTTCTTAATTTATAGTTTTTAACAAGTATTTTTACGTGTCACAGCGCTCAAAATAGTTTTTCAAAGCTTGCTGATCAAATGTAGTTTTTTAACAAAAACAGGAAATATTCCCTATTAGTGCAATAAGTGTAAAAATTAGTGTAATCAGTGTAATAAATTTCCCTTGAATTTTTCGAAATTTCCCGAAAAATAGCCAATCATTTCATCATTGATAGGCCGTTACTTTCAGCGCTGGTGTCATGTCAAACTTTGAATAACTCAATATCCCTTAACTTAAACTAATTTTAAAATTTAATTTTATTTATTGCCATTATTGGATTCATTAGTTACTGGATTATACTGCAAATAACTCTAGCATTCTCTAACAAGCTAATTTCTTGGTCCCCTTTAAGGTTTGAGTAATTTAGAGTTTACTGTAATATGTTTTGTTATTTGTTAATTTTTTGATGTTGTTGTTGTGTTGTTTTGTGTTGGTAGATTAGATGACTTGGTTTACTTTCACGCTGAGGTCATTATAACCATATAACCATTCACTAAATGCTAAAGATTCAGTTTTTAAATAAAAACAAAGGTATATCTTATTGTGATCATTTATTTTTAGTTAATCCAAACTTGCAACAATAAATCTTGAAACTTTCACAAAAGATAAACAACCTCACAAAGTAAGTTTATTTGTTATCTGTTTACTAATCAGTCAAAAAAGGGAAAAAAAAAAAAAAAAAGTACTTTTGGGCCGTGTGCCACCCTTAAACTTCAAAAATTCAAAAAATAAAAATAAAACAAGGGTCACCTTATAAACTTCTACTCTAGTCCTAAAAAAATTTTGACCGAAATTTGAACCACCCTACTGTTTAGACACCCTACTGTTTAGTCACCCTACTGTTTAGTCACCCTACTGTTTAGTCACCCTACTGTTTGTAACCACTGTTTAGTCACATTTTTGAGTTTTTAAATAAATAAATAGAGTACATAACAAATTATTAAGTGTATTCAATTATAATTTTGTTCAATTTTTAGGTCGAATTCCTTCTCCTGTGACTGATTTTGAAAGCTCCTACATTTAAGAAATGTTCTGAATTTAAGAAATGTTCTGAATGTTGATTGTTTTCGAAAAGTTAAAACGAAGCTTGATAATTTTCATACCATTTACTAAAAGATATATAATAATGAAAAAATGTTTCAAATTAAATTGTTTTTATAAGTATTTTTGAATATAGTTTGTTTTTTATTTTATCAAGAAAATTTTGAATAAGTTTATTTTTTATTTTATCAAGAAAATTTTTTTGCTTGTTTCTCAAATAAATTTCTATATTTTTTATTCTTGGAATTATTGTTTTGAATGGATATATTGACTATTTTTGCTTTGTTTTTTATATTTCCATATCTTTTTATATGTGAATGGAAACCATTTATACTATCTTTTGTACAATCAAAACGGTTTTCATTTCTATTAAGTATCGATTGCACAAACAACAGCTTTAAAATATTTTTTGCCTAACTTCACAGTAAAAACAGTTTAATTTTATGAAACTGTCATAAGTTTTTTTACAGATAGACTTTTATAAAAAAACATCTAACAGATAAAGCTAAATTTGAAATAACTAGGTCTCTTGGGCCCATTTTTCAATGTGCAAATTTGCTTTTTAAATAAATCTATATAAGAGAGTAAAATATTATTATCATAGCCTGAAGAAATTTTACCCAACTGTCTTATATGCCAAAGATACTTTTATTATGTAGAAAATATTAAAGTAAATAAGTAATAAGTAAAAATACTAAATAGTTCTAAACTATAGTAGATTAAAAATTAACCACAAGGCAAGAACTTTAGTAAAAAGTAAACTGTATATTTTTAGCAAATTAAGACATTTTAATGAGCACAGAAGTCATGATATTTAAAACATTTGCACATCAATTTTTAAAATTAAATATAATGGTATTCGATATATTTTATTTAAATTAGACCGTTTTCTTTTAAATAAATTTTAATTTGACAAGCAATAGATTTATGGTTTGCAAAAAAATTCGCAATTCACCAACTACCAGAACTTTAAATTCATTTATTTTTTTGCTTTTTACTAAAATAAATTTAAGAATAAAGATCAAAGTTTGAAAACAGCCGGTTGTGGGTTAGACTTACCACAACCAGTATCGTACGGGTCATGACAGCTAGTTTATAAATAATTTTTTTTTTATGTCATTTTAAATATATAAGATTTTAAAGCAAGTTTCAAAATACACTACACAAATATATTTTTTATATATTAAAATATTAAATATTTAAAATAAATACTTTTAAATAAAATCAAAATATAAAATCTTTTAGTGTGGTGTATTGCAAAGTTCATCACAGTTTTATAATTATATCTAATACTTGTTTTGACATTACTTAGGAATGTTCAAGTTATTCAAATTACTATTATAGATAGTACAGATTTTTTTAATTGTTTAAAAAACTTTTTTACATTAAAATCATTTTTTACATCAAAATCATTTGGATCAATTGCTATATAACCTAAATTATAAAGTATATTAAACATAAGTGTCTTCGTGTTCTCTGGAGATGATTCAAACTTTCGCAAAACCAGTCTTCTTACTATTAGCAAAGACATTGCTTTAATTAACAAACTTCTTATCTGAGCTAATAACTTATTCTTTTACAATCAATAGGGATTTCAATCTTCTTTTTCTATTGCTGACTTTTAACTTTAATAACAGAAAAGTTCTATAGTGCATTAGATAGAAGCAGTAAGGCAAGAGCTATTGCTCTTGATATATCTCTTGATATAAAGGTTTTCAATAAAGTCAGCCATGTTGTCCTTTTCCATAAGCTCATACAACTCAGTTCATTGCTAATAATTGCAAAGTTGTTAATACTAATATATTGTTATAATAATATATTGTTAATAACATAGTTGTTAATGATGATGAATAGCATCACTCTTACTGAGTCCTCTACTTCACGTTTTCTTTGATTACCTTTCATAGATGACTTCTTAAGCTAACATCTGATTAAATTGCCTTATTTTATTATGCTCGCCATTCTCTACTCTATAAATCTTTTATTTATCTTTATATGGAATACTGTTGTCATATTTAGGCTGCTTCTTATAATGAAGCATTTTCCCTTTTAAACTATGTCTAAAATCAAATTGTAAATGTTGCTGGAACTGCTCTAGCTGCCAAGTTTGAGTGTTTTCTACAAACACTTCTGCAGTTGCTGCTCAAGAAAGCTATCACCTGTTACATCAACCAAATTCAATCTTCAACCAAATTCAATGCGTTTTTTTTCGCGACATCACTTGACTGACTTTGCAAGCTATGACTTTTGAAACACGCTGGACAGTGGTTACCCAAGTTTCATCCAGATTGTAAATTTGGGATGGTATGAAATTGTATTGTATAATAAGATCATGAAGTATATTCTGAAAATCCTTAACTTCCCTTAACTTTTCAGGTGAAAATGTACACTTGGTTTTTCTCTTATAGTTTCTAGTCATCATTTGATAAAAAATAGCAATAAAACTTAAAACTTGTTAAGAGCTTTTGTTAAACAACTTTTAAACAACTTGTTAAACAACTTTTGTTTATTCTAGTAACTACTACTCTTGAGATTACTACTAGTGGTAGTGGCTTCATTCACTCGAGAATTCATTGGCTTCATTCACTCGAGAATTCATGCAGAATTATTACAAGAGAATTATGGTGCAATAATTAATGATTGTGCAAATAGAAATTTACAAAAATTTAACAATTAATAACTAGACAGTTAATAATAATTCCTTATAGACATAGGGAATTATTATTTAGCAATTATTACAAAAGTATCGGACAATTTGAGTTTAGACAACATTCAAAATGTTCGAAGGGGAATTGCAACAATCTCATTTATAGATCACAAATACTTACATTGCCAACGTTCGAAGGTAATCATTTGTTCTAAAAAAAAAAAAAGACTTAAAAAAAAAACTCTGGCAGAGTTTATAACTAGGATCTGAATGATTCTCTTGTTTACATCAAAGAACCAAAAAATTGCTTTTTCACTATAAAATCTGTTTTTTAGTATGAAACTGTCACCTAACTATTTTAAAGCTAAGAGCATGTCTACCAACATATTGACCATAGACATCATTGTCCTAATGTTTAAAAGGTAGAAGATTTAAAAGTGTCCATTCTCTCCTCATGTCTGAAGTCTTACCAGTCTCCCTTATCACTAACAGAAAATAGGAGTTATTAAAAAAAATTTGTTTCCTTAAAACTTCATTTTATGGACTGGTTCCTGGAACGGTAAATAAAAACAATGATTATAAATTAGGCTAACCGCTTATATATTCCTGAGCTATGGTCTATAGTTAGAACAGATGGAGGAGAATGCATTCCTGCCATAACTTCATCTGGATTAATAATTGGTGGCTCATCAAATGTAATAGTATACTTTGATCTTGCTTCATCTTCATTATCATTTCCATCATAACCAGCAGATAAAACTAAAACAAAAAAATATATTACAATATGGCCTGAAATAAATTTGCACAGAAAATATATATAAAATTTACTTAAAAAAGCAAAATCACTCAAGACTCATTTTCTTGTGAAAAACAATTAATGATGATTATTTATCTAAAATACATTTTATATATTTTTAAAGTTAACATATTTACTTTATGATAGTGGTGAAGAGAGAGCTCTCCACATCATCCTCTATATTTTATTAAGAAAACAAATTAATATATTAATATTAATTGAAATTATAAAAAAGCTCAGTATTTATAAAAACTCATTTTTTAAAGCCCAGATGCTCTAATTAATGTCTCTTACCTAGAGAAAAAAAAAAATTTATTGAGCATCTTTTAACAAACTATAGAGAGTTTAAAGAAAGTTGAAATCTTGTTTAGAGCAAGTCTGCTCTAAACAAGATTTCTAAACAATGCGGTAGTATTGTTGTGTAGTCTATTGTTGTATTGTCATGTAGTGGTAGAGCGCTTGCTTCATAAATGAGAGGTTCTTAGTTTGATCCCCACCACATCCCTGGTAGTACGGCGCTTAACTTGTTTCTCTGTGCAGCGACATTGTTTGTCAAGGTTCGTTTTTTGGAGTTAAAAATTTGAAAGTGGAATATATATATATTTTTAAACATCTTTGCTTCCAACAGGCTGCAAGCAACCACTAATTAGAGTTGGAAGTTACTAGAAGAGAAAAGATGAAGATAATGATAGACCAAGATAACGATTGACAGACAACTTAAAAGATTGCAAATTATATGAATCAGGAAAGCAAGATGAAGAAAGCGAATTCCAAAGAACTGATGTTCGAGGAAAAAAACTAAAGGAATAAGAGTTTTTTTGAGCACTTAGGAACAGTCAGTTCAATTAAGGATGAAACTTAATTGAACGACGAGTAACACGAGAATGAATTTTAGTAGATGGCACAAGAGACACTAGCTCTTTAGAGCAGTGCCCATTATAGTATCTGTAGAAAGAGAAAGAGAAGCAACATTACGACGATGTGATAATGGTTGAAGGTTGGTTGCAAGAACAGGTCCAACTATGTTTACAATGCGTTTTTGCACCTTGTCTAAAAGACAAAGAGCATCATTAGAAGATCTGCCTCAGATATGGTAACAGTATTTCATACAAGGCCGGATTTGAGATTAATTGAGAAAGAGAATAGAATCCGTAGTAAGAAAGTGTTGAGCTTGATAAAGAGATGTAACTTTAGCAGATGTTAATTTTGCAATTGATTTAATATATGATTTCTAAGAAAGATCAGAAGTAATAATTAATCCTAGAAGATAAAGGGTAGATAATTCATTGAGTACATTACCATTCATAAATATAGGAAGGTCTAAATTATTGTGATAATGATTGGCTGAAAAAAATTGAGTTTTATCTGAACTAATGTAACCACATTTAAGTAGCCTCCTCATGTGTAGTGAACTTCTTGGCCTTAGGGAAAACTTAGATGACTTAGGGAACAACTTTAAAAATAGTTTTTAAACTTAGGGAATAAAAAAAATAAAAATAAAAATCTTTTCTTATCGCCAGGGTTCTTTTATTTTTTAAATAATTATTTTTTAAAAAATAATTAAATATTTAATATTATATTTTTCAAAATTGTATTTTTTAAAAGTTTTCAAAAATAAATGAAATTTTGAAGGAAGTAAAAATAATACAGCTGATTGTTAATTTTGGCCATAATATTTATTTTAGATTATGAGATATATGTCAAAAAGAAGCAATATAATTAGCACATCAAAAAAAATTTTTATGAATATCTATTATTTGTTTGAAAGTAAATAGAATGCTTATCAATATTCTTTTTTTATTTTTATAAAGAGTCAAACAACTAATGATTTAATACCAATCAAAGTCCAAGTCCATATATATTTGTAAATGATTTTTTTTTTGAAAATTTTATATAATTTTACTTTAAAAACATCTAATAAAAAAAAAAAAACAATATCCAAAAAAACACATACCTTTGCAAAACCTTTTTTCTATTATATAATAGTGATCCATTCAATGTTCGAGGTTTAAATTAAATCTTACAACTTAAGTTGTAAGATTTAAATTGTAAGATTTAACCAGGGTACAGGGTAAGGCATTTTACAATTTAAATATATAAATATATAAAATTTTAAAGCAAGTTTCAAAATACACTACACTAAAATATTTTTTATATATTAAAATATTAAATATTTAAAATAAATACTTTAGTCCAGTCGAATAAAATTATTTTTGGTTAAAAAATTTTTATAAAGTTGAAACTTTGCCCAGTGATTTCCTAAGGTATATAGATCATGTAAAAAAATGCCCCACTATTCCCAATAGGAGAACCCCCTTTTTCGGGTCCAACTTCTAAATGACGAATGCCCAAAATGGTCAAAAAAATATATTTTTATAAATTGACTTATTATATACAATTTTAAAGCATTTTTTACGCTGAACAACTTTTTGAAAGACACTAAGGTCTTAAAATGAAAGGTCAACTAGCTATTTAACAAATAAATGCTATAAATAATACATTAAGAAAACTTTCATTAAAATGGTCATTTGTCATATTTAATTATATCTAAATTAAATCATTGTTTTTTCTTTAATTATATTTCTGGATTTAGAAATCAGGAAAACATAACATGTTCTTATTGTCATCTTCATAATTTTCCATTTCGTTTTCTTCTTCAATTTCATTGCCCTACAGGAAATAGATAAGCAAATATACAACTGATATTTTGTATAAATATTTATATGCGATAATAAAGATGATCAGAAAACACATTTCTAATTTTCATTGTTAAAATTTACTTTGCTATTCATACATTCTGTTCCACAACATTTCCTACAAAATTGCAAGCACCGTATTCCGTATTGCTTGCACATACATGCTTTGCTACCACATGGATTTTTTGTTGTTGTATTAATGATTAGCAAAAATAGAAATTGTTGTAGTTAGAAATAAAAAATATCTAAGTTTAAATTATATAGATATATTTTTGTAAGATCTTTTCAAGGAGTTTGAAAAAATACATTAATTTCAAAACAAACCTTGCAATTACATCTAATGACCTGTATTAGTGCTTCTGGCGCATTGCCTTTCTCGTTCATTATAGGTGTGATTACTCTGTCATGTTGCTTCCAGCCCCATTCAGTTGCATCTAGTTCAATGTCATTAATTAGTGGCCATAACAATATTTGACAATGCGCACGCAGGCCATGGAAGTAAGCAGCGTTATCAGTAGGTGGAAATTTCTCTGGCGATATTATACCCTTGCATGGTAAATCGATGTATTTATTATACCTAAAATTAATAATAAAATTAAGTAAGATCATTATTTTTATACAATTAGGATTTCTATGCTAGATAAAAAACAATTACCTCAATTTTGCAAGTGTGCTTTCCTTTGTTTCTCCATATAACAAAACAAAACCTTCAATCAAGGCATTTCCAACTTCTTCATGATTACTCCATGGACTTGTCATTACTGCTGATATTTTTTGGCCAATTCTTGTTCGAGATTTTTTCAACTAGTTTTTTTTTATTTTTTTCCAAACTCAGACGAAACAGTACCACACCCCAACCATGCATGGACAAAGAGCAGGTGTTGTTTTATGATTTTGATTTTTAAACATCATCCGCCACAACAGTTACATGCTGCAAGCTTGTGTTTGCCATATCAAAAGCGGTTTTATCAACGGTACTATCAGCATCACCAGGGCAGTTTACAGTCAAATTTTTTTTTTTTTTTTTTTTAATTATCTTCGCTTCCAACAAGGCTGCAAGCAACCACTAATTAGTGTTGGAAGTTACTGGAAGAGAAAAGATGAAGATTGTAGAGCAAGATAACGATTGACAGACGACTTAAAATATTGTAAACTATATGAATCAGGAAAGCAAGATGAAGGAAGCAAATTCCAAAGAACTGATGTTCGAGGAAAAAAACTAGACGAATAAGAGTTTTTGGAGCACTTAGGAACAGTAACAGAAAAAGTATGAGACTTAATTGAATGACAAGTAACACGAGAATGAATTTTAGTAGATGGCACAAGAGACGCTAGCTCTTTAGAGCAGTGCCCATTATAGTATTTGTAGAAAAGAGAAAGAGAAGCAACATTACGACGATGTGACAGAGGTTGAAGGTTGGCTGCAAGAGCAGGTCCAACTATGTTTACAATGCGTTTTTGCACCTTGTCTAAAAGAGAAAGGGCATCATTAGAAGATCCGCCCCAGATATGGCAACAGTATTTCATACAAGGCCGGATTTGAGATTTATAGAGATAGAGAATAGAATCCAGAGTAAGAAAGTGACGAGCTCGATAAAGAGAAGCAACTTTAGCAGATGCTAATTTTGCAACAGATTTGATATAAGGTTTCCAAGAAAGATCAGAAGTAAGAGTTAATCCTAGAAGATGAAGGGTAGGAGACTCATTGAGTACATTACCGTTCATAAATATAGGAAGGTCTAAATTATTGCGATAACGATTGGCCGAAAAAAATTGAGTTTTATCTGAATTAAAGTTCACCAGCCACTGCGAGCCCCATGCTGTAGCAGAAGTGAGATCCTTTTCGAGCTCAGATGCCCCCTGCAAGCAATCAGAGGGAGTTGGCTTCTTATCGTGATAAGAATAAATGGTAGTATCATCAGCGAACAATGCCACCTTAGATGCGAGAATATCTGGAAGATCGTTAATGTAAATTAAAAAGAGTATAGGGCCAAGGATTGAACCTTGGGGAACCCCTGAGGTTACAGAATAAGAAGAAGAGTGCTGTCCATCAAGGACAACTTTTATACTACGATTGGAAAGGAAGGATTCAATAATCTTAAGATGTTTCCAGATACACCATAAGAAGAAAGCTTATGGAGGAGACCAGCATGCCAAACTTTATCAAATGCTTTAGAAATGTCAAGAGCAATGGCCTTAACCTCTATCTAATGCGCGATAAAACCTATCGGTTATTACTGATAGCAAATCAGCCGTAGAACGAGAAGATCGAAATCCATACTGATGATCAGAAAGTAGGTTATGAGATTCGAGATTCGAGATTAAGTGTTTGTTAATTAAAGATTCAAAAACCTTGCTTATGATAGGAAGAAGACTAAAGGGGCGGTAGTTAGATGAGTCAGATCGCTCTCCAGAATTTTTAAAAATAGGGATAACAGATCCTGCTTTCCAGCAGGCTGGAAAACAAGACTCTGATAAGCATACCCCAATTGATCTAAATTTTCTGAAAGAAAGTTTTTGAAATTGGCTTTTTTTTCAATATTACTTAAAAAACGATCCTGAGTAAGCAGCACAAGTTTATCTTGCTTAATTACTACATTGCAGCTTTGTGCAATAGAACTTCTGCGTAGATGCTCGTGACTCTTTATGCCTTCATCTTGGTGGCCGTCAAAAATAACCATGACGAATCCCTGGTAATTTTTTTTTATAAAACTTGAATAAAAATCTGCTACATCATTGAATTTCTTACCTTTAAACCATCTAACTCTATATAGCAATGCACTGCCATCTATAACATAGTGGTTTGGAGTCTTGATATCTTCATATTTTACAGCATCTTCGACGCACATTATTATTTTGCGAAGGGATGTTTTATCTGTCTTTCTCATCATGCCTTGGGTAAAAAGTGACATAGGCTCATAAGTTAATTCATATTCAAATATAGATTCTAAATCATCTTTATGTGCTGCAACAGTTTTTAGCTGGTTAAACATTATGCTTGGTTCTCCTATTGGTTCTTTACTACATTTTACCTTTGCATGCAGCAACAATTCCAATGTTATGATTTGATTTTTTTTTTAATTTTTGAGTCTTCAAAAATTATGTTATCCAACCCCTTCTGAATACTATACCTGTAAACTGTGAGCTTGCTGAATACTTCAGCAAGCTCACAGTTTACACCATCGAGTAAATGATACCATATCAGTCGACAGTGAGTAGAGATTTTTGTCAGGAATACAGAATGGGTTTCGATCAACTAACCATTCATAAACCTTTTTACAATCTTCGTAATCTTGCTTTGTTCTTGACTTTCCAATTTCTATATGTAGCTCACTGGAGTTTGCTGATACACCTGTTAGTTGAATCATAGCATCGTGTATTGAAGTTAACTGTAAAAGGCTTAATGAACACACATGACGGAAAAATTCTGACATTCCACAGCCACCAGTCAACTTGCATATTTTGATACACACAACTGTGGCACATTAGAAAAAAACACGAAAGACTATTAAAAGTTTAAGATTGAAAGATCAATTAAAATGCAATGTTTTCTTAAAATCAACTTTCAATATTTTCAAACATGTTGTTACTTTTATAGGCTAAGTTTTCAGACCATTTTTTATTACTTACTAATAATTAATTATTATTTGAATGTATAACATTTATTTGTTAAATAACTAGTCACCCATTCATTTTAAGATCTTAGTGTCATTTAAAAAGTTGTTCCGCATAAAAAATGCTTTTAAATGGTATATCATAAGTCTATATTTGAACATGGTTTTTTTTTTTTTAATTTTAGCGCATGCGTCATTTTATAATAGGGAACAAAAAAGGAGGTTCTCCTGTTGGGAATCATGGGGCATTTTTTTACGTGATCTATATACCTTAGGGGATCACTAGGCAAAGTGATTCCCTAAGGTATATAGATCCATTGATTCCATAAGGTATATATATATATATTTTTTTTCAATATGAGAATATTTTATTTTTTATTTCAATATGAGAACATGAGAATATTTCTTAATTTCTTCTAAATAAAATTTTTTTTTTTTCATTTTTGTTGTCAGATAAGCTAAAAAAACAGAAAAATTCATATATTGTGTTTATAAAGAGACAAATTCTTCTTAAAACCTCATTTTCTTTTGGGATTTTTCTTGCTGACATAATAGTGGCAATAAAAATTAATTATTTTTTAAAAGAATATACCTTTATTCATTAGCTGTAACTTGCACAATGGTAAACTACAGGAAAACAAATAGATGATACATCATCATTATTTTTCAAAAAGAGAAGAGCTTATCTTGCAAATTCTTTAAAATTATCAAGAGTGAACAAGAATCACAACAAGAAAGTAATTGACAAAAAGGCATAAATTATGATAATAAAGAGAAATGACTTTCAGATTGTCTTTTAGGAATGTTGTCAACAAAGATCTGGATATATCTTTTTTATTAATAAATAGTGTCTCTTAATTATTAGAAGTTTTAGGATCTTGCTTGGCAATAGGTATTGCATCATGCTCTTTAACGAATCTAAATTATCACAACAAAAACTTCACTTTAAAAAATTCAATTTTTAATCCTTAATACTTCAATTTTTGGTCTTTTTGATATAAAAAATACATCAAATATTAGCATAGATTTCAAGAAAGTAATGTCAGCAGGCAAATAAAAAGTCTTTGTTTTATTGACTTTTCTATGACAGTAATTGTCTCATTTTGACTTCCTGTATTACTATTAGTTGTATCAAGTAAAAACTTCAAGTGAAACCAAGTGTAAATTTCTTTATTTAATGCTTCTGCAAAAGTTTTGTCGTATGTAGTTCAATTTCATATTAGCTTTGTATTAATTCATTAATATTAGGTTTGTAAAAATTGTTTTACATCAATACCGATTCCGGAAAGGGCTGGTATTTTGATCACCATTGCTTGTTAAGGTATTGCTTTAGTTTAGCCTAAAGCTACATTGAAATGTTAAAATTTTGAACATTAATAATTCTTAAAATGTTGTGAACATCTAGAAAAAGTATTTTGAATAATCAGTATTTGAATACTGTATTTGAATCTAAAATCTGAAGTATTTGAATCTAAAATCTGAATCGTAATGATTTAATGATTCTGAAGATAAAAATGTTAAAAATATTGTTGCTTACACCTTTATTCTTCAAGCTTTTTTTGTATTTAACAATTGTTTTTGATATTTTAAATTTTCTGATGCCATTCACATCTTTTGTGAACTAACTTGGTCTATCAGGAAATCTTTTTTTAACTGGATATGACAATCCCATTCACCATGGGAATTGTCAAAAAGTGTTTTCACCTAGGTGGTGAAATTCAACTATTAGCAGACTTTTTAATTTAGACATTTGCTGCTAGTGAATACTCTTTAAATAAAAAATGGAAAAGTAAATAATAAAAAAAATGGTGAATAATAGGGAAAGTTAACTCTTTTTGCAAGATATTTGTGAATTACATTCAATGGTGTTAATTAGCCAATCAGAAACAGTTGGTTATTTGGAAATTCTAAATGTTGTAATTACAAAATTTTAATAGAAGAAAATGAAAACAAAAGAAAAGAAAGAGAAGAAAATGAAAAGACAAAACTGTATAGTTTGCTGCACTTAATTAAAAAAAAAAAAAATTTTTTCCTACTGTGATGCACCTAAGTGCAAAATCCTCTTACACTGCATCAGAGAGAGCATCTCTCTCAGGTACTTTATGTGATGGAGGGGAAGTTTACCATTTGGAAAATATAGCCAACCTCAGCGTATTAAGATTCTTTAAATTCCTTTGTTTATCTAACTTCACTTTTTGCCAAAGAAAACTATCTGCTGATAAAATAAAAACTTAGAGTAATCAGGCTTTAAAATGTCAAATTTAAACTGATCAAAATAAAAATTTTCATTGCAATCAGCTTTTAAAAATTCACTAACACTAGAACTCAAACAAAAAAGTTATAAGTTTGTATTGAAAACTGAGGAACTTGTATTGCTGATGTTATACATTTTTAAGTTGTTTGTTCGCATTTCGATCCTAGAATCTTTAGTTGTTAAT